ATTTGCTTGTGGTTTGGATTTTCTCGGTTTTGCTTTCCTTTCTCGTTTTACAGTAGCTGTGTAGGAATTATGCACACGTTCAACTTTCCTAGAGAAAACGGGATAGGTGGCTCCCCCTATGATTTCCTTGGCTCTTCAGACGCTTCTGTGCTGAAACTTGACACATCACAAAAGGTGTTTAGAGATGATTTTTTAAAAGGAACAATAGCAAGATTTCAGTGTATACAAAGCTGTTACCTGTCTTCAGGTCTTTCGGTCACAGTGTCAGAAGTCAGCTCAAAAGTCCTTTGAATGCAGCAGTGACTTGTTGTGTTCCTCTTCTCATTGTCTACACCATGGAAGGAACAGGAAAGACTCATTGCTCTTTACTGACTTAAAGGCCTCAGTGTTTACCATTTTTGGAACATGTCTTTGGGGTGAGGTCCTGGCTGGAAGTGTTCTTTGCTGTATTTTATTCTGTAGTAAAGCCTTTAAGTCAGGTGAGCAGATTCAGTGGATGTTTTCTGACCTCTCTTACCTCCCAACTACTTTTTCTATGCAGACAATAAATGAAGGTCTCATCAGTGCTTTTCTTTCTTATAATATAGATTTTTGGGGTGTTTTTCTTTTTCCTCTACTGCAAGGCAGGGTGGATGTTGCTGGTAAATCACCTGGAAGAAGGTAACCATTCCTTTAGATCAAGATAGTACTGTTTATGTTCTTGCCACAAACCAAGCAGAAGTTTGCTACATTCGCCTAAATTTCTGCAGCTTCAGAAGATGGCATGCATGAAAATAGTTTCAGCTTTTTGGAAGTAGGAGGTGGGAAGGCTGAGGGTTTCAGTTCAGCTTCTTCCACCAAAGAAAGCAAATAGCTTTGTTTGCTTCACTTAGCTTATTACCATCTTATACCTCCAAGGTAAGAGTTACAGTAGAAGAAGAAAATCTCCAACTGGTTTATGTTTTGAGTGTCTGGGGTTTTTTTTCTCCATTTAAGTAGGGCTGCTACTACATAACCACTATTGTAAAGTATTCAGTGCAAGAAATAGATGGCTAATTAGGCTATTGTCTGTAGGGCATTTGTTTTATTCACTGTGGAAATTAGGAAAGTGTGTCACAAATGAGGCATAGGTCTGGCGAGAAGAGGATGGTCTTGTGGTTAAGGTAGTGGACTATAATCTGGGGAACTGTATACTGAAACTAAATGCTTCACAGAATTTCTCTGTGATGTTAAGTCACTTCACTCAGTTTCCATTAGTGATGGCTAATTGTTTGTGCTTCATTTTTCAGGTATTCAGCTTGAAACAAGGGCCTGGTTTGTGGAACTGGTGGGTAGTTAAAGCTCTATCTGAAGCTAATGAGAATTGTAGATGCCCTAATACCACTGAAAAAAATCAGGCCCTAGGCCTGATTTGAACTAGGTACTTAGAAATTAGGGGATTCTGTAAACTTGTGCTTCTCTTTTCTAGCTGTGGAGGTTGTAATTCTTTTCAACTCATCCGATTTCCTCCCAAAACAACACCAACTCATTGATTTCCCCCTCTCCCCCTTCCCCCCACAAAGTTGAGGCAAATAAATAGCCCTGTTGAAAGTGCAGTAAGCTGCAAGGACACAGAATGTCCTCTTTTCAGGACAGGCACTGGAAGGTGTGCAATAAATTAGAACTGGCATTTTACACTAAGACCAAGTGAAATTACTGTTTTGTTATATCAGTATTGTTTTTTAGATAAATTAAGTGGTGGGGAAAGGAAACGATAATTCATAATTCATATCATTAAAAATGTGCCATAGCACATACCAAAGAGAAGGAAACAGTTAAGGTTTTGGTTCTAACACAGATTCTTAATTTACAGTCGTAATGTGTTGGGTTTGTATGGTGGAGCCTCAGTTGTCACTGCACCTGCTTACATTCTCTTTGGGGCATGTATTAGAAGGTAGTTCATACCAATTTCTCACCAAAGTTACAGATTCTTCATAGACTGTACCTTTACTATCACTTTGAGAACAATTGCCCACCGTTTCACAACTGGTGTTCCATCAGTGATAAAAACAGAGAGAATGGTAACGCTGAACCTTTTACTGGTGTGAGCTTCTTCCTCCTTATGTTGTGGCAGGTTATAAAAGGACAGAGAGCAGGTTTTAACTGTTGTCTCTAAAACAATACTGTGTGTGGTTTGGTTTTGGTGACATTTGCATTTAGAGTGCATTCAGGACTAGTTCAGTCATCAGTGTAGTTTAGTTTGCTAAACAAAGCTTCTGTCTGAAATACGCTGACTGCAGCAGTGCTATTTTAAGGCTTTAATAGTGTGAAATGTAAGGTCAATGCTTGTTTAATGATACTTAGCTAATGACTTCATAGTAGCAGTGGTCACCTTGACATCACTCTTTGCTAGAATATTTACAATTCAGCTATTCAAAACATTGTTTGATTAAGGGTTTTGCTAATGATCCATCTTCAACTGAGTGGAAACTAATTGCTTGTCTGGAAAAAAAGAAGAGTTGGTTTAAAGATAATAAACGACAAGATCTTTTTAAATTTAGGTGCCATTCTGTTTGGAGTTGAAGGCAGAAAATTACATAAAGGACAACTTTATTTGTCAGTGCTGCTAAAGATTTTCTTGCACTATTTCTGATGCTGCCTATAAAACCCAAACATTTTAGGAGTATGCAAGCTTAGTTTTTCTGGCTGTTGCATTAGTACGAATTCTGAATTAAACAGTTCTTCCATTAGTCAAAGTGGGGGTCATGTTCAATGCATAATGGAATTGAATGCAGTGCAAGGATCTTTCATTCAGCTGCAGGTAACAGTACACACAAGAGAGGCTTCAGACACGCTGGAGATAAGATTGGTTGTCTTACCTGCTAACAAAATAAGTCTTTGGTTCCGTGTATGTCCTGGTTTAAAAAACGTAAATGCACAGTGGAAGTTTTCCTTAACACACTGCTAGGAGTACAGTTCTAACAGCCATGTTTACCACTAGCAGTTCATGGAAGAGTCAGAGTTGTTTCTGAATATCTGAACTGTATCTTTTATTTGAAGAAAACAATGGCCCCAGACCCTTTGTACAGTTTTCTTTTTCGATGTAGAACAGTAACATGTTTGTATATGCTGTGTCCTGCTATTTTAAGAAGTTAACACTTACGGATTTGAATTTTTATTTATTTAATTTTTTGCAAGCATCCTGCATTGTTTTCTCAGCAATGCAGCTCCATTATGAGGATGAGAGGTCCAAGAAGGTGCTTAGGAAATAGTGATATTTAAAGTATAATGCAGCTAAACCAATTAATGAAAAGACCAGCTAAACTTGCTGTGAAGAGGCACTGGGTGTTAAAAATGCAAACCGTTGTCTATACCCACGTTTCTACCTTTGTCTCTATTACTGATTTGGCATGAACATTAGTGTAGGAATGAGGAATTTCTAAAGCAAAGCCAATATAAAGGCAGGATTTGAAGTAACACTTACTCGGCAGTTTCGCTAGAGGGTAAGTCAGGGTCACATGTTCAGTATGATCCCACGTGATGCTGTTATTAAAGGCCAAACATCCCAGGATACAAAAAAAGCACATTCAGACAGAAAATGCTTAATTCTGAGGGCACTGCCTGTGCAAATCTCTCTTCTTGTTTAGTTCTTAGGCTGCAGACACAGTCACCTTGTTGGAGTGCTTCCTTCATTTACTGCAGAACCTTACGTGCCGTAAGGGATGATATTAGAATAAACTATTACAGATACTTGGATAAGTGCTTCAGTTACAATCCATAATGCCACTACAACTTTCCTGTTTACAAGAACGTCACCTCATTTGCAGTGAAAACATCCCCTCAGTGTACAACTCAGCATCTAAATGTTAGTCGTTTCTTTATTTCTGCAGTAAAAAGCCTGACCTGATCAACTGATGAGTCTTGCAGAGGCAGGCGTGAGCACAGGGCCGGCACTCAAGTCAGCTGACCTTCTTGTTCAGTCTGGGTGTAGCTATTAATCCGTAGTAGTTCAGTAGTATTACCCACTGCTGTGGCCAGTGGGTAATAAGTGAATTAATAAGTGAAAGCAAATAATGGAGAGTTTTAAACAGCCCATCTCAGGGAAGTGGTGGTTTTCCTTTTAAACAAAGCTCTGCTTTCTTCTCTTTGCTGTGCTTCTGTGAGATACAAGCTATGATGTGTAGGATTCCAGTTTTCTGCTGCTTCAAGAGAGACCTTTCTAGTCAGAGGAGACATTTTAAGATTTGTTTTAGGAGAAAATCCTTCAGGGTTCTTCTCACTAGCTTCTAGAAGGAGATGTTTTTGTAACAATAAAGCTATAACATGCTTTCACAGTGAGTGGGACATTTTTCTTTGGGAATTTTTATTAGGGCATTTTTTTTTCTGCAGGTAGTAACTCTCAGTTTATGAAACAAACTTGGACTGTGTAGTTTGCTGTCTTGCTCTGAAGGGATCTCTTTTTGGGAAAGATAGACTGTTTAATAGTTTGTGATCTACATTATGCTTTGTGTGCAGTCCCTTAGGTTAGAATGGTACTGTTTCTGATTTATTGGTAAGACAGATACTCCAAAAATACACACTTATATCCAGAAAGAAAAAGAAGACTTAGTGTATGATGATTTATTAAACTGCTAAACTTGAGACTTGTTGGAACATGGGAGGAAAGCGGATTTTAAGATCTAGAAAAAGTATGCTGATTTTCAAGATTCAGGTCTTAGAATTGGGTGTAGTTGGCTGGTCCTGACTTATTTATGGCATTTTAACAGTAGTTTGAATTTCAGCTGGTATTGCCTGGAAGGGATATAGAGCATCAGTTTGTGGCCACTAATGGCTCACACTACAAATAAGTATGTGTGTAGCAACTGAAATGTGCTGGAGATGGGCCTGGTCTCTGCGTGGAATAATTTGCAGGTTCTTCAGAGTGTTAGGTTAGTTCCTCTTTTCGATTTACAGTTGCTTATTCAGGTATTCTGGTATTTTTACCCCAGAGCATGGGTTCAGTGCCTCTAAAACCCATCTAGAAATGAAGAACCTGGACAAATTCTTTACAGTATTAAATTACCTTGGCAGAGGTGGAGGTAAGTCCAGTCTCTAATTGTGAAACACTTTTCCATAGTTTTGCCATGAAAAGATGTTGCTAGACTGGCTTCAGATACGTTTATGGTACAAAGTGATGATCAATAAGGAAGTAGGTTGTAGCAGCTAGTCTTTTATGACTGTGGTGCTCCCATTAAGATACTTGAGAGCCCTAACTTAATCTCTTAATGCCTATAATGATACTATGATATACTGTCGTTTTATAGTTTTGTTGGAAGCTATTACGAAGAATGGAAGTACTGCTGGGGGAGGCGCTTACTGCCAAAAACCAGCCAGTAGCAATGATCAAAGTAAGCCCAATAGCACGAAGGAGAGCAATGCATCTGCTGCGGGTGAAAGTGGAAAAAGCTACACCACAGACCAAATGGAAGGAGTATTCAGGTATGGCCTTGCTTAAATACATCACTGCTTTTTCATTCCGTGTGTTATAAAAAAATCAAGGTTAGCTGAGAGGGGTTACTTGTACTGAACTGTGCCTAAGAGGAAGAGGAGAGTTTTGCTGCAGTTAAACACAGTATGAGGCATTGTGGGAAAGAAGATACTCTTTGTTTTAAACCATCAAGGTTACTTGATAGTTTAGATAATACTAGATAATACTAAAAGGTAATACTAAAAACAGTTATTAAATCTAATGGTAAATGGAAGAAGTGATGAAAATTGCAGGATAGTGTTTCTGTTCTTATATATTTTTATACTTTATATACATGCTCACTCCTAATGTTTATTTTCTGTACAAGCTGGTCTTAGGTGAGTGTTAGGACTATTTCATTCTGGAAGTACAGGCACCTGAGAAGCATTGAAGCGCATAGTCTAAGTTAGATTATATAAACTCTCTCTGGACTTCATGTAGCTTGATAGTATTAAGATTGGGTGACATCAGGAAAGGAGGATGTGCAAAAAGAAACAAAGATAAATAGAAGTGTCTTTCTGAGGTGAGTAACTCAAATCATGTTATCATTACACACTTGTTGGCTGTTGAGTGAGAAAAACATGGGTTTATATGTGCTCTGATTTCTGCTAAAGAAATATGTACAGCCACTCTAAAATTGCACACACCAAAACCCATTTGTATTTTCATGTAAGTCTAGCCTAGATATTTTCAAGAGAGCTCAAAGAAGGGAGATCAAAAGGTCTTTATCTCCTAATTTGCATAGATTGGATGAACTATTGTGCAAAATGGAAATTTGTGTGTGGTTTTTTTGTATGCATGTGAGATGTATGTTGCAGTTGATAATCATCTTGGGATCTTTTCCTGAAGTTCAGTAATGTGTTCAGCTGTGCTAACAGTGAGGGAAAAAAAGGTAGCTTTTCTTTGTTGGCACAGCAGCTGTACATTCAGACAGGTAGAGAGCAGTATTCTGGCATGGCTATACTCTTGGTGTTGATACTTACTAGAGCTTTTCATTTACCATCATCTTTGCTTGATTAACATTGTTGCCCTTCGTGGCACATGTAAAGTAAAACCTGAATAAGCATGTACGTTTTTGGCCACTTTCAAAGATTAGCTGCTAAAATGAAGGCGAAGTGTGCGTGTGCACATGCGTGTGAGACAAAATACCCAGGAAGCAGCCCTCTGTGAAATGAGGCTTAGATCAAATTAAGACATGTAACACATTCTCAGAAGGGTGCTACAAGGAAGGCTGTGTTCCTGCAAGGATTCACTCACCTGTGACATGCCCAGGTGAGCTGCAGTCTGCTTTGACATCAGACTTCCTCCAAGTTCTTTTTTTTTTTTTTTTTTTTTTTTTTTTTTTTTTTTTTCTTTTTTTTACCGAAAAATTTTTGTTGCCTGCCTTGTCTTGAGTAAAATGATGTTGTTGAGACAACTTTTCTCCCTGGTATGCTTTCATGGTGCTGGGTATTGCTTCCTTGAAGGAATTCACTAGATACCAGATAAAATTAATGCAGTTTGCTGAGATCAGAACTAGAGTTAAGGGCATTCACGGAAGTTGCACATTAAGAATATTCTTGATACAACGTTGCTTCTTAATACCTATTTCAACAAGCTGCTTTGTCAATATTAAATTTGGGGTTTTAAAACCTACCCAGGTATTTCAGTTGAGCAATTGTAATAGCTTGCATACCAACTCATGTTTATCTGTATTTTACATACGACATAAAGATCAGCTGTTAAACCAAAATCTTGACCTTAGCTTGAATGATGCTACCATCCTTGAGTGATGCTACATACCTTATAGCAGTTTATAAACCTTTGGAGAGAGACTGAATTTTGGGTTAGCTCTGCAGTGATCAACAGAGCAAGTCTCCAGTTCTCGTTGGAAGTTTAGAAAAGTTTGTCATGTTGTCAGTGAGTGACATCAATACATCGCTTAGAAAATCTGTGGTTAAGAATTAAAAAACGTGTGCGCCTTGCCAAGGAGAACAGAATTAAATTCAAACAGTGGGCTAAAACTTCATGGAAAAGTATAGCACATGCAGTGATGATATCTGAAGGAAGGCTTATGTTTAAACCACAGTGAGAATGAGCTTTCTAGTTGGAAACATTGACACACTGTATATGTTATTGCTTTAGTCAGGCCCCAGACTTTTGCAATTAAATGAAACATGCCCCTCTGGGGAGGGTGTTTTTCAGAGAGTAGAGCTTGTCAGCACCATATGCTTCTGCCATACCACAGTGGAATGGTTTTCAGACGTTTTGTTGCGGCTTAACCCCTGCCGGCAACTAAGTAGCACACAGCTGCTCACTCATCCCCCTGCCCCCCAGGTGGGATAGGGAGGAGAATGGCGGGGGGGGGAAAGGTAAAACCCATGGGTTGAGATAAGAGCAGTTTAATAATTGAAATAAAATGTAATAACAATACTATTGTAATAATTGTAATGAAAAGGAAGACAACAAAAAGAGAAGAATGAAAACTCAAGAATAACAACTGATGCACAATACAGTTGCTCACCACCAGCTGACTGATGCCCAGCCTGTCCCTCCTGGCCCAATCCCCCCAGTTTATATCCTGGGCATGATGTGATGTTGTATGGAATACCCCTTTGGCTAGTTCAGGTCAGGCTGTGCTCTCTCCCAGCTTCTTGCACCCCTCCTCACTGGCAGAGCATGAGAGACTGAAATGTCCTTGGTCAGGGTAAGCGCTCCTTAGCAACAACTAAAACATTGGTGTGTTATCAGCATTGCTCTCAGACTAAATCCAAAAAACACAGCACTGTACCAGCTACTAGGAAAAAAAATTTTTCTGCCCTGGCTGAAACCAGGACACCTTTGAATTAGGTAAAGAAATTCTGTGTGAGGAGAGGTGGTTTTAAATAGTGTTTCATGCTGGATTTAATTTTTTTTTTTCCCTGTAAGGAAAGAAATTTCTAGATAGCAAAGTAGGAAATTTTCAATTTTTAATAAATTCTGTTTGCCATGAATTTGACTCTCTCAAACAATTGTTTTATATGCTTATGTTTTGAAAGGTGATCATTATCCTCAAGTATTCTTCCCTCTAGGAGTTCTGGTTCTCTATTAATAATGGATTATAGACTGAGAAAGCATTCCTGGTTTAACTACACATGCCATTTCCAATGCTTTTTCTTTATAAGCTTTAGTGAGCAGTTAGACAAGGGGGCAGACTCTGAGCTGTCTCTCACTTGGATCACTGATTATTGTTCCTGGAGTTGTCCAGCTACCTTCAATTTGCTTGTGGCAATAGGTTTAAGCATAGTGAAGATGTGCGTAGAGCAAAGTAATGTAACTGCATTAATTTTCATCAGGGTTACTCTAGTAATGTGAGTAGGTATGAGAACAGCCAAGAGCCTCTGTTCTAGTTTTACTTTTTGCACATACACAGGGGACTCTAATCACTAGCAAGCTACTCTAACGCTTCTGTGGAGCAATACATGAGCTTGCAAACAAGTTGCTTGACTGGGGGGAGCATAAGATGCAGTATCTTTCCACTGATTGCATAAGTGCTGAGTGATGCTCTGTTCTTCATGGAAATGGTGCTCACTATTTCAGTGTGACAATTTGAAGCTTGAGATACCCAAAACTACTTTGTTACTTCTGAATTGAAATGCTTTGAAAATACTATCTGTGGTACATGCATCTTTTTCTTAAAGATGTTTATCTTGTCACTGAGGGCTGGATCAAGTTGCCTTAACACTTTAGGTGACCTGCATAGCACAGATACTGACAGGAGACTAGCTGAAATGCGTTAGGACCCACAGCAGACTTACATCTTTTTAGAGTTAGTGCCACAGAATTCACTAGTCAGAAGGCAATTGAAAGCAATACCAACTTGAGTGCATCGTGTGCACAACAAAACGTGGACTAGCATGAAACTAAAAAAAAAAAAGGATCATTTGCTTGTTGTGTATTAATCTTTCCCATTTCTTTTTATGCTGTGAAGTGTGTATTATCTGCTGTCTCCTACATGATTAAAAATAAATTCAGACACATATATAGGTCATATACTTTATACAGGCTCTCTTTAAATGATCTGAAAATTCATATGGTGTCTGGTGTCTCATTTTTAGTAAATAATCTGTATCATATACTCCATATTACCTTTTTGACATCGGGAAGATAACTGTCATTAGTAGTATGATGAAGTGGATTGCTGTCTTGTGAAAACTGTGGTGGAATACTGCTTTTCCTGCCCTTCCAGTGCCTGCCTCTCAAAAGAGAGCACAGGAATGAAATTTTGTATTTGGACCTTTGAGCTCGAACCTAAACAAACTAATGGAGTCATGAGCTCTATAGGAACCTTGTAAAGGAGGATTAAATGTCATCCAATAGTGGCTGGGTGTAATCACCACCTTGATTTGAATTTATGGAGTAAACAAAAAAAAAAAGTGCCTCTACACGTTTCATGGATCGGACTGACAGGAATTTGTGTGACTGACTTTTTCCAGGCCTTTTGCTGAGACTTCTGTGAATTCAGCAAAACAATTGCTAAAATTGAGAGAAAAAAACACCCCAAACAAAGAAAGAAAATTAGGATGTGCCTCTCACTAAGCTGTAGAACTGCTGTGAATTGTTGAAATAGCCATTTGAGTGGTTGAGAAAGTCAAGGTAGAAATCACAGTCATAGAGCCTGTCATGGACAAGTGGCACAAAAGATAACGGTGGACTTTGTCAGAAAGCTTCTGCCTTCAATCTATGCGTTTTATAGGTAAAATAAAAGCTTAAACAGGATGTGGAGAAAAGTGTGCTGATGTAAACACAGCCTTGAATATTTCATGTAATACACACAGGAGAAACAAACTGACCAGGTACATTCAAGAGCAAGGTACTAAGACAAGCAGCCTCATGTGGTGTTGAATCTATCAGTAAAACAGAGATCTGAAGCTTCTGGTGCATTCATTTCAGAAACTAGGGACATGTTGGTACCAGCTTGAGTTCCTCGACAAGACTGTGACCTCCTCTTCCC